TGAATTTCTGAGCTGTAGCCATAATATAGCTGCTCATCAGTCACCTGAGGATCTGCGGTTTCCCAGCGAATAATGTTCCAAAGTCGGTACTCCTGTAGAGCTGACACTTAGAAGGCTCTAAGGGCATATCAAGGACTTCTGATGTCTGATTTATGTTTTTTTATATATAAAATTAAAAAGCTGTCTTGAGATGCATGAGGAACTTGTTGCATCCATCATTCAGTGAATGGTATAGTCTTTTAAATGAATGTTCTCCTTGGTTCTGCTAAGAGTCCCCTGATGCAACTCTAAACTTTACCAAAATGATACAGTTTCCAATTAGGAGTTTTCTCCCTCTGACATTTTCATTAGAAATAAAGGACACTGTATAAAGCATATTCCATCATTCACAGATGATCCTCTTTCTTATTTTGTTAAAAGTGGAAATCCAAATGTTTTTTTTTTCCCCATCTGATTTTTTTCAGTCTGATTACAGTTTTTCATCTCTGCTTCCTGTGTTGGGTATTTTGATTTGATTCTTTTTTTGAAGGAGAATAGCCCCTTAGCTCTCTCTGCCTTTAGATTTAGTTTGTCCAAAAACAGAAAACCAAGTGGGCTTTCTTGGACTTTCACGTGGGGGAAGGAGATGATGAGAAAAAATCCCGACTGTTGCTTTCCAAGCTTTTGATGAGGACTGTAATGCAGCTTCAGTTTTATTGAGCAACATAAGGATTTGATTGTCTCTGAAAACTTCAGCTGATTAGATTTAATCGTCCCTCGTGAGTCCTACAGGTGTCTGGTTTAGCATTTAGCACCTATGGTTGAAAATTTCCAAGAGCTTAGAGCTCATTATTATTATTAACATCCTTCTTTCTAACAGCTTTTCTTTGCTCCAGACTAAAGTACTTTGGGATCTCTTTGTTTATACAAAAATGCTCAGCCCCAGGTCTCTGTTGGAGTATTAGGGGTACCAGCTTTCAGCAGTCTGGTGGGCCCAGCAGAGCAGCCCCACAGCGACAGGCTCCTACTCGCTTTTATTTGGCACGTAGCCAGAAGGTGTCAGAAATATTGACACGCTTTCACGTGACGAAGACTTTGCCAGCCAATCCCCCCGACCTTCCTTAAAGCCCGGCTTTCTGTCTGCCCAGCCAGGTATTGTAGGGCCCCGTTAAGGCCCTCTGAATAGTGTCAAACTTGATAGTTCTCATTTTGCTTCCTGTACATGGCAGAAGAAAAAGTGCCCACCGTGTGGGTTTTCCTTTGTGACGACCCTTTCTAGTCCTCATGGGAACACACCACATTCCAGCCACAACCCCCCAACAACCCCACCCTCTTTGTGAATCCGGGCATTGTGGGTGAGCCTGTTATGCCGATAACCCTCCTACCTCTCGGGTGTAACGATGGAAAATGTTCGTATAAGTCTAGAGTTGTGCTTCTGCATGCAAAGCCAGATAATAAGCAGAAGGTTTGCAGTGATTTGGCAGAGTTCTTGTTTTTGGCTGGGTTTGTGTGTAGATTTCCTCCCTATGATATGATTTAAAGTCTGCTACATCTGGACAAATTACCACACCAGTGTACCATGCATGGGCCCCATGTGTCAGTTATGGTTTATGTAACTACATACGCGGAACCATAGTTTGACCTGCTAATCCCAGAGGCATCATTTCTAGTGTGGCTCAAAGACCGATTTTCATGCATCCAGCCACCAGAACTGAGTCGACCCCCCAAAAAATTATAAAAATGATAAAAAATTCACAAAAAGAGTCTGATTTCTAATTTCAGATATAATTTACTTTGTGTTGAAATGCATAGATGGTTAAGTTGAGGTTTGTCTCTCTTTTCTATGTTTGAATCCCCCGAAAATCTAAGAACTAAATTCGAGATGCATTTTAAATCACCAAGCTGGTGAAAAAAAAACAACTCAAATTTCTGCTGCTATGCAACCCTATGTTGTTAGTTATTGTGTCATGAACCATTACCCCCTCTGGGTGAGGAGAACATGTTTTCCTCCTCTTTGTGACAAGAAGGAATTGTTAAGGTTAAGTAGATGGGGCAGCCGGAAATAATTACCAAGCACTTGTGAAGTCCAGCCACCCCAATCCCTCCTCCTTTTGTCCGTCCTTTTCCTTTCATTTTAACAATCTTTTCAATGTGCAGATCTTGTTTATGATTAAATTCAGGCTGTACTTCCCTCTAAGCACAGCAAAAAGACGGTCCACTGAAACAAGCTGTAGTTTTGCGGTTAGACCTGTAATTTAGCGGGCTTAAATGCCAATCGGAGGCTCCTTGGCTAGGAGAAAGGCGGGCTTTTGTGTGGAGTTCACGGAAAATGACCCCCTCTCTACAAATCAACTGGCAGATGACAGACAATGATGAAAATTAGATTCTTTGAAGTTGTAATGGCTATTGAAATGTGTAAAATTCTTGCAATGAAAGGAGAACCTCCTGGAAAGGCCTCAGTCTTTGGGTGGCTGCTGCCGGCGTGCTGGGAGGTTCGTCTGTGTTTTGTTGCCGACTTCCCAGTGCTTGTTTGCTAATTCCCTGAAGGATTGGCCAAGATCTTTGATAGGAGCCTAAAAGGGGCTCCCAGGTCCCACCGACTCCAACTGTCACACTGTCGTACTTTGCTTTGGCCTAGTCCAAAACATCTGGTAGGCTAAGCTGCAGTTGCACCTCTGTGCCATAGAGAGTAAGAAGATAAATAGGCCTATGTGACCAAACTTAAATTTCCAAACATTAATTTAGACAAATATACATACTTATATGTGTAACAGTGGTAAATGGCCTATATTTATTCAGAGCTTTTCAAGTCAGGGGACTCCGAAGCAGTTTCATATCCACACACTGATTGTGGCAAGCTACATTGTAGCCCCAGCTGCCCTGGGGCACACTGCTGTGAAGAGTGAAGCAGGACATCCCGACTCAAACGGAGCTGAAGAACTCTGACATTTTTCTAACACTACAGATTTACATGTGTAGAAAAGCTTTCACTTTTATTTGAATTATTGTGCAGCTCCTTTTTATGATGTCTGCCTCATATAAATGACAACATGCACTCTGTCCATCAGCCAATAATTTTTACTTTGAATTATTTTATTTTATTTTATTTTATTTTTGCTTACTCCAGATGCATGAGTCCAAATGCAGCTCGACGTTAGTCAATTTAAATGAAGCAAAAGCCGATGAGGTTTACTAACTCTGTCTGTGAACCTGAACGAAATAACCTGCAGATGTTCTTCCAGTGAAACTGAATAAAAATCAGGAGGAGAAAACACATTTTGTCAGGATTGTTTTGTGCAGTCAAATCAGAACTGAATCATATTATTGCCCTGGAAGAATGTATAAGATGAGGCCTACAGACATTTTCTGAAGCGCTTTTCATCTGCTCGTTCCATTTTTGGAACCTAATGAGGAACCTAAAAGTGACATTAATGCTGAAGTGTAACGGGTTCCAATCTAAAATTGTGCGCATAGGAAATAATAAAGAAAACCTAAAGTAATGTGTGTAAGGTTAACTTCTACTTTTAAATATTTTACACCATATCAAAACAAAATCTTTTGATATTTAATTGAAACTGAATTAACCCAGAATGTGTGTAAAGAAAATCTATCAACTGGAACCCGTGAATTTGGTAGAAAACATTTAGGTAAAGGGCAGGAACATTTGGCCGATTGATCTCACATCTTGTTTTGTTTCCATGATTTTGTTTTCCTGCTTTAAAAACCTTCTCAAATCAACAGATGGAGAGAAACTAATGGTAAATCTTTACAAGCCCAAAAAGAGGACGGATAAAACTCTGGCAGGTCAAAACATCGGATTCAAAAGAAGAAATGTCCAAAAAGAAAAAAAAAAAAAAAAAAACATAATTCCAGAAAGACAATAAAAGTTAAATCCACACTTTTTGTTTGCTTTATGGCTCTTATAAAATATGTTTATAGCGATTTATTGTTTTTCATCGCTCCTGTTATTTAAAGTGGAAATGATTCTCTCCGGTCTGAAGATGGACAAAAAAATATAAAATATGAAACAGTTGAGTGCAAATTTCCATCTCTACGGCCAAGCGATTTTTTTTTTTTTTTTTCCTGACATCAAGACAAAGTTTTAAGGGTCTTAAATTCAGGATTGCCTCCAGGTGACCTCCTGGACTGACAGGTTTTTGGCATTATTGTCTCTGCTTTTTAGGAAAAACAAAACAAAACTAAGTAACCAAGACGACAAAAAAAAAAGTCTGCCTCTGACGATGCTTTCATTTTTTTAAGGGAGAAATCTGCTCTTTTATCTGATGTAATAACTACTTCCTCTGCATGGTGCGGTGGATCGCAAACTCAACTTCATTCATCAAATTTGATTCCTAATTTCTGGTTCCGCCTTTTACTGGATATTGTCTCCATCCCAGACCACAGACTCTTATGATCCAGGATTTCTGAGATTACAGACACAGCTGTAGGTGCTGAAATCACATGTTGTCTGTCTTTTTCGGTAAAAGTCAACAGCTGAAATAAAATGAATTTATCTGTTTTGAATAAAAATGATGTATAAGAATTAAACAAAGAGATAGTTGTGGTTTCGGTTCAATTTATAACTTAGCCATTGTTTTTTGGTGGTCATGTTTTGGGGCACAAATCAACTCTTCTCCTCCATAAAAATCTCTGCGGGAAGTTTGTCTGTAATCGAGATTTATGTGAGATCTACCAAGGAAACCAAAATGTGAATGTAGAACGCCCAACACTCAGATCATAATGGCGAAGATTTCTTTATGGACCGACAGGAACAGTATCTCAGCCAGAAAATAACCAAGCTTTTTTATTAGACGTTATCATCACTTCATGCGTTTCTCTAAGAAGGTACAGCTATTGCCTTTCTGCAAATCTTAAAGTGACCAAATTCAGCAAACATTTATAATTTATTGGATTGTTTTCAACAAAACCCCTAAAGATGATTCTTCATTTTTAAGTTTCTGTCAGAAGTTTGCATTTCGTCATCATCTTTTTACATATTTTTTTTTCTTCTGGTCCCTCAGGACATAACTACTCTGACCGGGGTCCCAGAAGAGCACATCAAAACTCGTAAGGTCCACATCTTTGTCCCCGCCAAAACCTCCATGCAGTCTGGCATCAACAGTACCAAGAAATGGAAGATGGACTTCGACACCAGAGAGCGGTGGGAGAATCCGCTGATGGGCTGGGCCTCAACGTAAGTACAACATTCCCCATCCTGCATCGGTCAAATCAACACTGAACAATTGGGACGTTCATTTTTTTCCTGTAACGTTTCTGTCCACTGGGGAGTTTTCAGCCGCTTTAATCTGTGTGTGTTTTAGGGCCGATCCTCTGTCCAACATGATGCTCACGTTCTCCTCTAAAGAAGATGCCATTGCTTTTGCTGAGAAAAACGGTAAGATGTATCAATTAAGAAGGAGGGGAAAAAAAAGGCTGTCGGGTTAATGGGAGTTTATATGTAGCTTTGGTTTATAGAGAGATTTTGGTTAAAGAACTAAAACCATCATGATCAGCTTCATTTTAGTTTTCTCTTTGGTCTTTTTTTTCCAAATAGAATAGAATAGAATACAACTATATTGTCATCACAATGTCAAAAGTACAAAGCAACGAAATGTAGTTTTCATCTATGCAGAAGTGCTATACGGGATATAAATATTTATATCCCGTATAGCACAGAAACTATGTATGTATGGACTATAAATGGTGTATATTAACAGAGAGTAGTTCTAAGAGGCTAAAAAATAAAGAAAACCTAAAGTACCTAAAGTGTCTAACCCCCCCCAACTTTTCTTTTTTTAATCAATTTATGTACATTAAGTCTGTAAACTAGTATTCCAAACTGGTCTCTATTTACTGCATCTAAATAATTGTTCCTCAGTTGTATATCTCACTTATCAAGCTGCTAATCATTCAATGTGCACACTTGATATTTGAGATCTCACTATAAATTTATAGTTCCATGTTCTCAAGTCTTTCATACAATAGCCTAATAAGCTTCTGAAAATCCCACAGTGAAGGAAGGGTATAAGGAAGATGGATGCAGCTGATTTGAATCAAATCATACTGATGTTGCAACGGCCTAGTCAAAGTCCGGATCTATATTCAGTTTAAAACCTGTAATAACACTCGAACGTTGTTATTCACAAATGTTCTCCAGTATATCTTAGCTGAACTTGAGTTTTGCCAAAGAGGAATTCGATCAAGCTGTTAAAATTATTCTAAAGATATTTCACAGAGGGTCTGAAAATAAATACATGCCACACTTCTGATATTTGTTACAAAAAAATAAGAAATATGTTTGGATCCACCTCACAATGATGCTTTTGCATATTCTTTTTCATAAAATCCGAGAAACGTTTTTTGCAACGTAAAATGCAACATGTGAACTCGTATAACATGATATGCATGATATGGAGTCTTTGCATCTCAGCTGATTCAGTGTAATAAATCCAGAGATTAGAAAGGCGGTTGTAATACATCACCTGTTATACTCCACAATACAAAGCCAAAGCCTGCGAACAACTGAGGCACAAAAGAGAAAAGTTTGGAATGATTCAATCTGAGCTGAGCAGGCAGTTAAACATGAGTGATGTGTTTTCTGTCTAGCAGCAGTCAAGTTGACTCTGACTCAGAGAACCAAACCATCTGGGGAAGTTTGTTTGAAACCAAGCAAAGGAAACTGGCTTCTTCTGTTTATTGCACCAAGAAAACGATTAGAGACGTTCCGACTACACACAGCCAGTTGATGTCCGCAGAACACCTCATCGTGGCTGGAATTCATCCCGAGTGAAAAAGCAGGACGCTCTCACCCCTCATTACTTACTCTCATGTTTGCTCTTCAGGTTGGAGCTACGAAGTGACAGAGAAGAGGACCTCAAAGCCCCGCGTAAAATCCTACGGAGCAAACTTCTCCTGGGACAAGAGAACCCGGAGGACCGCAAAGTAAACCGAAGGCCCATCTGTTTGCTGTCTTGCTGCAGACTTGTATCTTTCTTGTCAATAAACGCATAATTATATATAAGAAAACCAAACAATTGGGTCATGATTGCTTTCACTCTTCAAACACTCACCTCATTACTGACTACCTGGCGCATCCTGGACGATTAATGAAGTGTTTGATCTCTCGGTCATGTTGTGCAACAGCAAAACAGAGTGGTACATTTCATTACATTGAGAACCTGTTTAAACATGTAGATAAATGTATCTGGAGGCCAAAGCCAGAGACATTGTTTTTATCCTGGTTCCCGGATTGTTTCATTGTTTGGAGAACGGCACAAGTGGAATTTTAAATAGGAGCTTTGAACAATCCTTTTAGAACATCTGTGCAGCAAGGGTACCAATGTGCACAGTCCTGAAGTCTTATGCTGTAGGATGTCTGTCAGGAGCCTGGCATCATAAAAGATGGATTTTCATTTTCTTTTATTCAATATAGATGAGTATAAATGGTTTAAAATTGGTAGAGGATGAAACAAGCTTTCTGCAATTTCTTTAAATATTATAAAATAAGCAATGCTCATTGTAGGCTTCCATGAATTCTAAATAAACCAAGATATTCTATACCAGCTCACAGATTAGTGGTCCGGATCCAGACCCACCTGTTTGCTAATCCAGACCCAATCTGATTTAAAACATAAATTACTGCATGTTCTCCGGTAGCGGCTAACTTCCCTTGTGCCGCTTCTCCTATTAATATGGTAAAGCCGTCCGGAGTGTCGAGACCAAGCTACACGTTATACAATTTAGCCAATGAGCTGTCAGTCTGGGTTTCTGCTGCTGGCTACTTTTAAAAACAGCAGGCAAATCTGTGGCAAGCAGGGCAATCGGAAAAAAGGAGAAGACGACGAGAAAAAGAAAGCAGAGAAAGTGTGGACTGCTGGAAGGAGCGCGGGGAACTAGTGGAAGAAAAGTGAAATGGCGTGCTCAAAGATGACCCTGTTCATTTTGAGTACTTTTGGCTCAACCTACTGCTGTGAATCAGGATTCTCCACATTGAACATAATCCAAAATAAGTATCGATCCAGGCTCACGAATGAGCACCTTGATATGTGATGTATATGTTCTCATCAAACAATAAATCAGAAAGAAAAACAAACTGTCAGTTCAGGTGTTTTATAAAATATGTGAATCAGGAAATTGTCTATACACCAAACTGAACGATTGTTGTTCTCTACTCGTTCTCTACTCTCTTACACTTTTGAAATGGACAAAATGTTCTATTTTATTTATTTATTTTTATTTTAAAAATTCAGTGTATAACATGGATGCATAATAAATCTAAATCTAGTTCAGTCTCAGATTCGACCTTTTTTTTCTCATTTTATCTATAAATTTGGTGATATTCATTTGCTATAGTTGCAGTTCAGGTTAATTAATTTGGTTAAATTATTATTATAATGTGATTAAATACTCACTTGTCCCTATGCAACTCATCCGAAGGCAGCTTTGGTTCCCGAGGGACTGGAAATGGGAACTGGTACTGGCTAAAATCATTATGTTCAATAATATGGATTGTCTGCTTATAAATAAATGCAAACTTTACAATTCAGCGATGATGTTGAGCCAGTGCTGAATCCTTTAAATGTTGGATATGATTTGACTTGAGGACTGCTGAAAGTTGGCCAAAAACCTGCTGTCAGTTATTAGGGGGAAATCACAGTGACGGCAGAAAAAAAAAGAACCCAAGGAGAAAAAGTTAAGACAGAAAACATTAATAAAACAAAAATTAACAGTTTCTTTGAAAAACTAAATATGTATTAAAAGATTCCATTATTAAAGTAAGATTATCTTATCTTTTCTTATATCTTTTATCTTATTTTTCTCTTTTCTGTTTGCAAGAAAGTCATTTCCCACAAGGGATTAATAAAGTGTTTCTGATTAGCAATTCATTTCTTAGGGATCTGCAAAAAGTTAAATTGAACATCTTACAATTTGAAGAAACAATGTTGGAACCGTTTTAAGATGCAGCTGGTGATGATAAATTATTATAGTGCCAGTTCACTCAAATCCTGCAGACAGAGTGGTCAGGAATCTGTTTAAGGAAACCTGGTGGATTGCATCAAGTCTTTGACTTGGCAGAGTTCAACCCACCTGTATGAGCATGTAGCGACGGTGGACAGTCAGTTGCATTGTCGTTGATTTTGCAGCAATCTCCCAACCCAGCATACATGTAGTGACAGTCTGAAGAAAAACTGCTGAACCAGGCTCCGGTGTGAACAGCCATCCACCTCGACTGACAGGATGTTGGATCAAAGCATGGATTCACTACACAAACCTAAAGTTAAAATGTGCAACAAAAAAAGTCTCTACACTTAGTAACACTTTTTTTTTTTTTTTTACAAAGAAACTAATCAAAACTTTTAAGTGTCCAGAAAATTATCAAATTACTGTAACAAGACACTGAACGCAGAAGGTTAATGGTTAAAACAATAGCAAAGACTGACAACATTGGACTGTTTTTACATTGGTGGTGAGAAAGAGGTGGGCTGTATCATAGCATACCAATGGAAAGCTGAGTTAAAGGTTCTAAAGAATAAAAAGAGCAAAAACTGGTATAATTGGGAGGTCTAAGATTTTTGAAACAAGGCCCATTCCAGTGCTTGTTACATTCACAAGGTGTGCAACACAACTGGAGGTGCTTCAAATGAATGCAACCATAAATGTATGTAGGACATGGGCTACAGCTCTTATTCTTTGAGCCAGAGACGAGATCAGAAGCATCATCTCAGGAAAAAAAGGAACTCTGACAGCTGTCCTTGCACCAGATAATTGGATTAGATTCCCTAGTTGTTTTTTATCTAAATAATTATTAATGCTTAGAAATAACCTTCCTTTATGTTTAAAGCATAAGGCTGTCTTTCTTTACATTCTTCTCCTAATACCTTCAAACAGTAAGATCATTTTGACTGAAAATTAATAGAAAAAGCCTCAGGAAACTTCAAAAAAGATGTGATATTTATATCTTTTTATTTTTAATTGTGGCAAATGTAAATTGCATGTTAAATTTTGAAAGATAAATACATTTTAAACCCATTTATTTTATATTACAAATTTGTGACAATAGTTATAACAGTCAATGATAAATGCCATTAGAAACTAGTTATAACAGAAGCAAGAGCTTATGGGGAGTGGTGGTCTAGTGGTTAGGGCATAGAGCTTAGAATCCTGAGGTTCTGAGTTTGAGCCCCACTCCCACAGACTGCCACTGCCACCCCAGCCGCCGCATATTGGCAGCCCACTGCTCCCCTAGGGGATGGGTTAAATGCAGAGAGTTCATTTCATTGCTCTGTGCTTGTTCCTAGGTCCACACTGAACGCTATCTTGGCTTTATACGCCAATGTAATTGGATATTTGCAAAAATGGGCGCCAAGGGGTTAATGTTGGCAAACTTTACTGATTGCAACTCCTTGAATATTTGGTGTTAAGCTTTATTGTACAAGATATAATTTATATCAAGGCAGGAAGATGTTTTTTGACGGTGTAATTTATATAATATTGTTTTTTTTTTCTTAACTGAGGCCTTTCTTATTATTTGTTATCATCCTGGTCCCATTTACCTAAATGGAATTAAAGATGTGGAAACCATTCAGAATCATGCAGGAGAAGAGATCAGTAACTTGCATGACACTTTAACTCCCTATTTTCTTTTTCATTGTCATTTTGCTACATTTTCCATTCAACCTGTTGAATGTTGAGGAAGTTGAAGTTGTTGGTAAAGCCCTAAATTCTCTGCGGTGCCCCGCTACGCTCACTCGGCATCCCACTCATTGCCAGCACTTGTTTATGCTCTTTGTGCTCAGTGAACAGTGGTGTTGCTCTGAATCCCAAACTGCGTGACTGCACTGACATTCACACACCAATCATGGGAGCCTAATTGGTAGACCTTCATTAATTATCGCACCGCATTAAGAGGCCTTGCGCTTGCTATTTATTTTGCTCCATCTCTCGGCACATCAAACGCACCAAACTGATATGAGCGTAATGGCCCATCTGAACAGCAAGGGCATGAATTGCTTTTCCCCTTTGAAAAGCCCTCAGCAGAGGAGAAGAAAAAAACAAAAAAAAACCCTCTCTTGGCACAACTTTGTATCATAAAAGTTGAAAGCATTCCACACGTCTTGGCCTATAAGCGCAGTAAATTATGCAAAGTTGGAATGGCACCGCAGTGGCATTGTTCAGAACCATCATTACAACGCAAACATCAGTGATAAAGCTGCTCTGATCCATCCGGCTGTAAACATTGGCTCAGAGTGATGAGCAGCATTCAGTCCAAAGAGCTTAATAAGCTATAGAAGAACGGCAAAGACGATGAAACTGCTTAGACATGCAAAGATGCTTATCACATTAGAAATGTACACAATTCTCGGCGCTCTCCTTCGCTGACTCTCTGTTTATCTCCCCCTTTGTCACAATAGAAAAGTCTGACATTATTTCAGATGTTCCTCGGAAAAAACAAAACAAAAAACACTCATTTGCAGCAGAACCAGTGCTGCTTTGGAAAACACTTGCGTCACCAACTGCCTTTTGCAGTTGTTTACCTCCCACAGGGATCTAAAGAGAGCCTGAAACCAGTGGTGTCAGATCACATGTGCCAGAGCTAAGAGCACCAACAGAAAGAAACAACAAAAAAACATTTAATGTAGGACATTGGCAAAATGTGTTCTCTTCCTTTGATTTTCCCGCTAAGCGTAAAAGGGTGCATACAGATAAACTAGTCCTGAGCTTCAAAAAGCTGAATCAGTGGAATTTCCCCCTCAAGAAATCTGGTAGTTTTCCATTGTGGCTGCTCCTCATTGTTGGAGAACATCACTTGCTACCCAAAGTAAATAAAGGCCTCTTATTATTGCTTATTGAGTGCATAATTAAAAATTGATGAAATAATTCTAGTAATTTAGTCAGATATTTTAATACACTAGAGTGATAATTTAAACGTTTTTTTACCTTCCACTAAGTTTTCCATTGTTATATTGTTATAAAGCCTCACGGCTTACATTCTCAAGGAACCTTTTGGGATTCCCTGTCCTGGTGGAGTTAGTGAACACCAAACCTCA